CCCCCCCCCCCCCCGGGCCTTTGACAACCCTGCTAACCCTAATTTTAGAAGATTAATTTTTCCCAGAGTCTTAATGAATTTTAGAAACCTTAAATGGATGAGACTTTGTCAATTTATTTTATCAGGATTAAAGGCTTCTCATATTATACACTTGCTCATATTTTTTTTTATATTCATAATTTTTTGTCTGAATTCCATACAATAGGTTCGGTTTAGTCTGGAAGGAGAAACTAATTGAAGAGGACATGATAAGAGTTAGGGAGGAAGTATTCACTTATGCAGCTTTTTTTGTGTGTATACATTGCTTGTCAAGATCAACACAAAAATAGCTGCATACGAGATTGGAGCGGAAGAGGTAATGCATTATGATTGAGTAGCCACCGCAGACTTTCTTTCTTCCCTCCCTTGATAGCCCTTGGATGGCAATGTTTATTTGTTGGCAAACTTAGTGAATCCTCAGCTCATGAATCAAGCACAAATGACCTGCATATTATCAAACAATGTGGTTGGTCAGATGTCTTACCATTAAGTTTGTGTACACTTACAAATATTGTTTCATTAATTGCCATTCATTCAGGTCTAGAATGTTGCCATTACAAAATACTCATGTACATGAGCTCCCTCTGATAGTCTCATATGCATGTACCCACTTTTTTCTTGATTTTCACTCAAGACGAAGACAGAATAAAAGAACTGCGTAGGAGAATGCTTCCTCCTCACCACTCCTCCTATTCCTGTCAATTATAGTTACTCCTTCACAAGAGTAAAACGAACCCATTTAATTGGTATGAAATTGCAAAACAAAAAAAAAATTGAACTTAGCGTAAAATGTAAGAGCCCATAACCCTGCTAATAAAGACTGACCAGAGTTTCATTCATTTGAGGGTCCTGAAATTTGTTTAGACCTCTGGTAAAATTCATTTTCAATAATAAGTAGTGGTTCACAGGTGTAGTCCATGGACTGGGTCCACAAAGGAGGGTCCATAGACTAAGTCCACAGGGGTGGTCCATGGACTGGGGCTCTATACGTCCGACTGAAATAACATTTTTCCCTAGCTTTCATAATTTATATACTCTTTGAAGTGGAGCCTCCTCATATAGGCTATTATAGGGAATACCCCCAGGGATTTAACTCTCTGTTCTAGAAGCAAACAGACTTAATAAACCAAATCTTTGTTTCTTTATTTCAAGTCTTTTCAAAATGATATACAGCTGCTAGCTAGGCTGGGCAATATATTATTTTGTTTATTCCCGAGCATTCTATTATAAAATTCAACACAGTTCCGATGGAGTCTGAGTGGGCCACCTGTGTCAGACCGAAATAAACTTGCAGCCTCAAAAATTCATACAACTAAAACACCTTGCCTCCACAATTACAATTGTAGCATTTTGTACATTTTACCTGAAATGTAACACAGCCAGGTTTTTAGCCCACGAAATTAGCTGCTGCATGTGATTTAAATTGCTACTTTTATATCTTTTTATTTTTTGGGTCCACAGTAATTGGCTTTAGCTGTTGCGGTGTCCCTGCCCTACAATATTGAAGTTATTATTAGTGTATTGTTACGTTCTTATTACTAGTGTTTGCATATCTACAGTGTTTTTTGTTTTTATTTATTTTTTGGTATCCTTTAGGGCAAAGCTAATAAAATAAAATAAAATAAAATAGCAATACTAGTATTTTCACATAATTATTATTAATAAAGCCCTCTGCATAAATTATTGTATTCTGTGATGGCTCAGTCAATGCCAAGGATACCCGTCATCCCCCTTCCCCAGCCTCAGCATTTGATAGCATTTGCCATGGTGGTGGTGGTGTGGGGAGGGGGGCATTTTGTCATCAAAGGTCCCCTAGGGGAGGGTTATTGTCATTGTTGAATTTAATAATTTCAAACAGTGATCATGCCTTCCACAGGTCACCATGCTATGGAGAAATTAACAGGAGGGAATTGAATTGTGGAAATCTTTACCATTGAAGGAGGTGCATGTATTTAAGACCTTCCAGTTCTTCTACAAAAGGTATTTGGCACATAAATAATGAGGGGTATAGAATGGGTAACTCGACTGGTTTCAAATTTCGTTTTTATCAATTCTGAGCCAACTCTATGTGCCAAAAATTTTGAGATAATGGTACAAATAAATTTAAATAAAATGACCAAAAACGCAAATGGAAGCTAGCTATAGCATGCAGAAGCCCATACATTTGCATAAATAATTAATATCGACTAGCTCAGTTTGAGAGTCTGTACCCAGGAACTCTTAAAAATTCAATTCCAGTGAAGCCTAAGGGGGTGTTTACATGGCACCGAGGCGACTTTCGCGCAAATGCAATATCACTCTGGTTCCCTCTTATGGCTGACATTTGTTTACATGATAACACCACAAAATGTCATACCAGCGCAAGTCACCCCAGCATGAGTTCACCCTGGTTGTTGTACCCGGGGCGAGAATTTCACTCCGGTATGAAATCTTACACTGGTATCATGTAAACGCGAAACGACCACCTGTTTCGGTGTTGAATCGGTCTGCCGGTACACTGGAACGGGTAGCGCATGCGTAACGTTGGTTATTTTTACTTTTGAATCACACGTGTTTTTTATCAACATATTGAAGTGTAAATACCTTCAAATAACAAGATATGAAATGACCCAGTCAGTACGCGATACAAAATCAAAAAGTCATCCTGGTATGAAACTCGCACCAGTGCGAGTTTTCTC